GTTTCGTAAAAAGGAAAGTTTCGCAAGGAGTAAATAAATCAAATCAGTTTATTACATAATCACATCAGCAATTTAATTAGTAATTATCGCCTAATAATAATTTTTTGAGAGAGCGATGCATGATAAATTCCACATGGTAATACAATATATTTATTATAAAGCAGTATATAAAACTATCGCACCCTGCGATATTTACATTTATTCTTAATAAAATATATTAATTAATAAATATATTTTATAAATTATATATGTTATAATAAAAATTTAATTAAATTAGAAGATTGATTTGCTTATTTTTATATAATTTTTAAGGTTAGATATCAATAATGCTTAGTGATCATAGTAAAAACCTATGCTTAGAGCTACTAATAAAAAATATTTTTGGGATCTTACCTATATAAGTATTTTTCAGGTCCTGTTAAAACCAGTTAGAAGTCAATTAGAAATTATTCTTTAAACTACTTGTAAAAATATGAAGTAAATAGTAAAAAAAATACAATAAATATAATACAATAATGGCTTAATACTATATCAAATTTACATTTAATTTTATATGTATACATGATCAATTTTTTTTTTGAAATTCTGGAATCAATTTTTTTTTATTAAAATTAAAAAATTGCCAATCACAGTAATTCAAAAATAGTGATAAATAAATTTATAAAATTATAAAATAAAAAATAAAATTATAATATCAATTTGTAAATTGGATTTTTTTGTATTTCTTTTAACTTTTCACTATATTTAGGTTGTAAAAAAAAATCAATTAATCGCTTTGTTCTTAATATTAATAAGGGTGCTGTCAGATATTACCTAATATTTTAGGGGAGGAGGTAACTAAAGATCTTAGATTACATACAATACTATATAAGAAATTATATATATAATATATCTTATCTAGGGGAGGGGGTAAGCTCTTATATTAAAGTGATATTAGGTAATATACTAATCCGCTAATTAATTACATCATATTTCGACGAACGAACTAATTCACTATTTATTATAAAATTACTATGAATTAATTATGTCTGTTAAAATACATTACGTCTGTCAAAATAAATTTAATTAGTATTTTGTCATTTTAACGAAAAGTATATTAGGTAATATCTGACAGTGCCCTAATTTGATAATATTTAACTTTTTTTTAATTATTAACGCAATGTATAAGCTGCACATAGTTGCCATTTTATATTTGAAGAAATTAACCCATATTTTTTACTGCTTTTTTTCATATTTACACCATTATCTGTAATAACCATATGTACTTTTTCTCTAAGTTTCTATTTATTTAAAATAGTAAATAATGTATTAAATATATTTTAAACAATTTGACATACTTGATTGTTAATATATGAATAGTAAAATTTTTATCTAAAAATGAATATGTAACTCCTAAAAATCCTTATTTATTTCTAGCTGGTCATATATCTGTAGTTAAACTTACAGAAATTGAGTAGTTATTTAAAATTTCTTGATCCATCCATTACATATTTATTAACCATTAAGGTAACAATTAATTCAGATTGAACCTGATAACAAACTGGATTGAAAATTCATTAACCAATATTAAGGGTAGAGTGTATTTACGCTACAATATATATACAATAGTAGACTAAAAAATGTAGATCATCACGTGACCACAAAATGAGCAAAAGCAAATGAAAAATTTATGATTTCTCACAAACTACCATATGAATTTTGTTAAATACACATTTAAAAAGAGTATACACATACACTTCATTTTATTTATTAAAATATTTAATCATTTACTATTAGTATACTTTTCAGTAGAATTAAAAAGTCAATGTCAAAATATTACGGCATAGCCAAAAACAATTACGTCAGTACAAATGTTTACTAATAACACTAGTCGAAATAAGAAATTTCGGACATGTGACTTTCGGCTAAGTTTCAGAATAAATTTCAGCCAAAATTCGTCTGAATTTAATTTCGGCTTAATTTCGACTCACATGATTTCCGAAGTTCTTTTCCGAAGTTCTTCCGAAGTTCTTCTGATGTTCTGATTTTCCGAAGTTCCGATCATTATATAAAACTCGGTTTCCAAATTTTATTATGAACAAGTGACACTTATGTAAAACCCAAAAAAAAAGAATTTATGTAAAATCCAATAAAAAGCAACAACTTCCGTCAAATTTCGACTAACAAAAATGAAGATTCATTATTATTATTTTTAACGAATGTTAAATTTTCTATTAACAGAATTTACGGCCAAATATTCTCTCGCATTTTTCCTATCCGAAATTTTATATTTTATTGGCACAAATCTACTGAGAATATTATGCACTGGAATTATGCAATCTTGACCTTCTGGGTAAAATTTAGTACCCTAAAGTTCGACATTGCAAATTTCATCGTCTTCAATACTGAAATAATAACGAGAATTCGCTGGTTGATACCATCGAATGAATGCCAAATTATGTTCCAATTCTCCATCCGGTAAGTCAACCTTGTGGGAAAAAAAAGAATTGAACTTGTTCGGGATAACAATTGACGCTACCGTCTTGTGTTATAAATTTGGCTAAAACATACGAGTTCTTTACGTGTCGAGCTGACATATTTGACCCAAATGTCTCTGAACCGATTCTACATCTACCGAACTGTTTCATTTTGACGGAAATGATCCTTGAATTCTCGTGGCCTTCTCCGAATGGCTTTCGAAACTCAAGTGTTTCTAAGGTTGCTTGTCTAAACCTCTTCAAAATCCTACGATTAGTTTCGTCAAAATTTTACTATAGATTTATTATAGTTTCGGCAGAGTTTCGGCAGTTTCGGCATTTATAATAAGTTTCGGCAGTTTCGCCTTTCTCCAAAGTTTCGCCAGTTTTTTAATATAACTTTAATATAGTTTCGGCAGAATTTCGCTTTTCAGCGAAACGCCATCTTGCCTAAACCTCTAGGTTTCGGCAAGCAACCTTAAGTGTTTCATAAGTCGCCAAATAGTATTCGACCAGTAAATCAAGCATTGAATTTGACATCACTATATTTTCAGAGGTGGGACCCAACATTTCACCTGGAAACGACTCGCTTCCAGTGACTATTGATTGTTGAATATTCCGCGAATTCAACCAAAATCGTTCCATTTCATCAGCTGAAAATTCGTCAGCCTCTGCCAAGGATCCAACAAAAGCTCGGTTATTGAGAAGTTCTAGTCCCTTTACATTTTCTCCAGAATTTATAATATTATCAATGTGGATATCAGCCATCATTCGTCGCATAATTTCCGGTTCTATTTTCCTATGGCTGTTCGGTAAGGCACCTAAAATTTAAAATTACGATTATGCATAAATTAAGAATAAGAATATTAAACCTAAATAAATAGTTATAGTTTACCTAATACACCGTTCATGCGTTCGAAGGAGAAACACCAGAATGCGTATAAAGGTCCAAAATCATACGTACATTCACTCAAATGAAGTGAAAGATGGAGATTAGAAGTAATTTTATCTCGTCCATAATGTTCCTCAATCAACTTCACAATTTCAATCAATCTCTCAGCATCAAGTTCTAAAATTCGACTTACGAAAGCTGTACAAACTCTCACAAAATGATGGAGAATTTTCCGATCATGTACCAAAAGGTGACTCCATAGCGATACCGTAGCGTATATTGTGAAAAAGATTCACCATTAATCTGCTGTAAAATTTGAAAATCCTTCTCCGCAATGGATTTTCCCAGGGATTCGTCCCAAATCAGATGGAATCTGAAACTCATCCATTTTTTTTTGAATTTTTATAAACAATTGTTGGTTCAAAATTCCTTCATCAACCCAAATTCTTTTCACTATCCATCTCGCGATGCCTAGAAATAAGCAGTGCATTGGATCAACAACAATGAACCTTATAGGGTCGAAGTATGACAACCGCAATAATTCTGACCATCTAACTCCAGTATCTTTCGTAAAACATTTTCGTGAAGCATTAGAGCTACAATGTCGCCATTCATGTGCATTTTTACGAAACTCGGCCAAATCTCAAGTAACAAACCATTCGTCTATATTGTCCATCCCGGTGAAATTATTTTGTCGATTCTCATAATTTGCTCATTTTTTGCACCAGTGACACAATGCAAGCGCTGAAATATGCCCGCATATCTTCCTTGCTGCAGGAACATCACACGAAACTAGTACTAAAGCTGCACGAATATTTTTTCCGTTTTGGCACTCAAATGTTCGATTTAGAGTTATTCCACTCCATAGTAATTCTAAATCATTGACAATTGGTGCTAAATAGTGATTGATTTGGTGTAGGCTCACTTCGTTAGGACCTGGTAATATTCTGAGAATTAATAAATTTTCTCTTTTAAATCTAATGTCCCGAGGCAAGTTGCAAATGGCGATATATATCACACCGGTGCTGTGAATTGTCCCTTCATAGGGTTGGAACCAATCCACATTCAGCATTAGACCGAGGTGTGAATCTGCAACTTCAGGCCTGAAAAAATTAGGCGAATCATGATAAGAAGTATCCTTAAATGTTTTCTACACTTGACCATCGTAAATGTCGGTCAATATATTTTCAGAATGTGATCGATCGGACCAATGTCTGAGTGACCTTTTGAATCCTGATCGAAGATATAGGGTTGCTAATTGTTGACGAATTGTAGAAAATGGATAAATCATCTCAATTCGATTTGACACTTTATTTAATAATCTTATTTGATGAGATAAAGTAGTTTGGCACTTCTGGCGTCTCGATGAATTTGGAAATTCGATATGTTGACATTTCATAATGGCAAGAATTTCATCTTGACGAAACTCCTCTACTTCTTGTTTGTTGTATAATTTGTGACACTTCGTACATGCCGCAAAGCAATGAAATCGATCTTCTACAGTGTTGGCAATTGGACTTATTGGACAATTAGACCAATTGGATATTGGACTTATTGTACTTGTACCAATTATACCACTTAAACAGTTAGACAATTGGACTTGGTCCAATTCTAACAATAGTTATCAACCAATAAAAATAAGCAATTTTATTTAATGACCATCAATTTATTTATTTTATTTATTTTCAAAATTTATTACATTTACATTAATTACCACCAATAATAAAATCTTCTAAATAATTTGGTAATTCTAAATTTTCTACAAAAATATTTTTTAGCTCCCATTTTGCTTGTAAATCAACAGCGGGATGTTGTAATTGCTCAATATTATCAATTGAGATATCATAAGTATCAACAATACTTGCTATTTCGTTATCTTGATCTTCTTGTAATTCATTTTCAATCATCTCTACCCAATGTGTTACCATATTTCTCCATTCATTAATAGAAGTAAGTGGTCGTGTATAGATATCTCTTTCATTTGTTTCATTATCAATATTTGTATCTTCATCATCAGAAATAACAAACATATCATCATTACTCTCTAAATTTGTATTATATGAAGTATTTTCTATAATCGTTTTGTACTGTTTCGCATGAAAATCCAATTCCCGAATCTGTTGTTGTTTTTGCATATGTGCACAAATCTGTGCTAAACCTAGCACTTTCTCCGACTAAAATATCAAAAAAAAAAAATTGTAATTAGTTTATTTATAATTAATTTTATAAATTATATATACCTTTAATCTATTTCTTTGTTTTGAATGATACCACCCCATTGTTGAAAACAATCGTTCCAAAGATGCCGTTGATACAGTAATTGAAAATATTCGTTGGGCAACTCTATATAATTCCTTTGAATATCCTTTTGTAAAGTTCCAATAACCCAAAATATTATTTTTAAATTGCTTAGAAATAGATTCAGTATAGGGATATTTTTTTGATCGATAATCTTCAAGCTCAGATAATAAAATTGTTGGCTCTTCTCGAAACCATGCACAATAATAATACAAAACCCATTTTGCCAAATGAGGTAATGATAAGTTTAAAATAGCAGAATTAAATTTTGTATCACGATAAAATGGGTGCAACAAAAATGATAATAACAAGAGTGGTTGCTCCCAATCCTTCCATCGTCGCTCAATTTTTGTAATAAGTTTATTGGCTAGTTCTTGGTCATCAAATCCCTTAAGTATCATAATTACATTACCAAACTTATGAAGAACTTCATGCAGTCGTGAATTTTGCCGTTGAAGTTTATTAAGCGTCGCACAATATGGAACTAAAAGAGTCTCGATTTTTTTAATACAATTCCACCAATTATTATCAAAAATGCAAGTTAAGAGCTTTCTGTGAAAATCTTGGTTGTCAGGAATAATATTTTCATCTATTTTTGTTGCGAGATTCTTAAATGTAAAATATATATTAGAATCAACATTAAAATCAATTCAATAGCATTTGTTAATTGTTATACATACACTTAAAGCTGCTTTTGTTTTTAATAAACTAGCGAAACAGTAATAATGTGAGTTCCATCGGGTAGTAGCTGGGGTAACTAATGCAATATGAGTTTTATAGGCAGCTGCTTGTTCATTTTGAAGTCGTCCAAGCCATACTTTTGATCGATTAAAAAAGGTAATCAAATTAATAGCTTCTTCAGCAGCAATATTTAAACTTGATGATTCTTTAAATATATCGCCAATACACAAATTCATCTGATGTGCAAAACACGGTAAGAATAGCTTATCCCGATATTGAAGACGCAATCGTTTTCTAATATTGATAATGTTAATTAAAATAAATCTTTTAAAAATTAAAATCATATTAATTTATAATTACCTTGCAGCGGCATTTTCTGAAGCAGAATCTGTAATTAATCCATTAATTTTAATCTTTTGTTTTTCAAGTTCTTCAAAAGATTTTTTTGTTTCATCTATTATAATATCTCCTGTACATCTTTTTCCGCTAATATCCTCTACTTTCCATATAATCATGTTATTTTCTGAAGTAAATAAAATGGATCCTAATAAATTCTGACGAGCAACATTTTTCCAACCATCAAAGGCTAACATGATTCCAAGATCATCATTAATAGCGTCATTAAGAATGGTTTCCGAAAGAGACTTTGTAGTTTTTTTAAGAATTCTGCCGCCAAGTTGTTTTCGATCTGGTAATTCTAACATTGGATTAAGCCACTTAAAAAGCTCTACAACTGCTGGATTATCAATCCAACGAAAGGAAAAACCACATGCAACTGTAACATTCAATAATAATCGCTCAAATATTTCCATTTGCTCAGGTCTCACTTCACGATATGCATAATTATCAAGTGGACCGAAACTTTGAAAAGAAATTTCTGATATACTACTACTTATACTATTTGTACGCGATGTTTTATAGAAAAAATTGTTTAAATTAGAAGAACCGTGCGAAGATGGTGTTATTGAT